TCCGCCCCGGAGCAGTACCAGAGGCGTTTGTTCTCCTCGAGGAGCTGCACATCGCTGACATTGAACTGGCTGAGGCAGCCCTGTGCGGCGAGCGTTCCAGACTCGTCGAACTCGATGAAGCAGTGCTCCACGTCGTCGTCGGCGGGCACGGCGCGGCAGGTCTGGGGCAGGGGACTGGAGCAGTCGCCACGGCAGGCGTTACAGCTGCCTCGGACGCCCAGCTCCACCTGGTTGCAACTGGCTCCCGTGCAGGCCACACAATGCGGAAAGGTTCCCTCGGCGCAGGCCTCGCGATCGTCGTAGTCCAGGTCGTCCAGGCAGGTCCTCACCAGCTCCAGGGGAGCCTTGGCGTCGCTGGTGGTGGGATACAGGGCCGTGATGCACTGCTGGTGGCACCGTCGCCGATCCTTCACCAGCTCAATGTCGAAGACGCAGTTGTCGTCGCTCTGGGCGTCGCAGTACACGCAATCCACCAGCTCCGAGTCGGTACTCAGGCTGTTGCAGCCATTGGAGCGGCACTGGTAGCACTTGTCCTGGTCCGCCGAGCAGGCCGTCACCAGGTTGTCGCTGCAGCCGCGCTGCACCACAGCCCCGTCGCTGTCGAAGATGGCCACACAGTTCTGGGCGTCGTTGTCGAGGCACTTGCGCAGGGTGCCAGAGTCGGCGGCGCACTCCGCCAGGCTGTCGCATTCGTAGCAGTTTATGGGGCCCGAATGCCAAATGTGCACAAAGGGATCTGCAAATAAAGATGGCCAAAATCTGAGATGCAACGTTCTTGGTAGTATTTTATGCAGGACTGCCGAAGTCGCAGGAAAATCAATGCAAATAAATGCCCAAATTCTATCGCTATTATCGACACGCGGGTCGTTACGTATTCGCAGTACTATTTATGGGGCTTTCGGCAATCGAATTATATGTTATTTATGGGTATATGGATGCAGGCGCTGCCGTAACGACAGCGCCATGATCTGATCCGGACTGAGGGTCGCCGCTTCCTTATCGACTCAATAAATTAGTAATTGCCTTATGGGGGCCCGTAAAACGTCAATTCTATGGCGATCGTCTCGCAATCTATACAGCACTCGTATATAGATACAAGGAATTCGCATGTCGCCCGAATGTTGTGGGCAAAAGTGAAAGGCACTACTTTTATCCATAAGTCACGTGAAATATAGCAGAAAATAAGTTCTTTGGAAAGAACTTAACCAACGAGTGCTTTGAAGGCCTTAGGAAATTCCCATGTACCTGTTGACGGACTCTTATGATGGGATTTACTAGTTAAAAGTACGTTTAAATTGGGAAATTTAAAGGAAGTTCAAAACAGGGACACCTTAAACGAACCCTTTAAAGAGCTTTCCGTTGCAGATAATATTTCTGTAAGCCACTTTATGGCACATCGAAAAATCACAGCACTCCAAGGGTGTTATATTTTTGTTGCTGTTCAAAGTCCATTGTTAATCTTTCACAAAATCAGCTTAATCCATACGAATCAAGAGCACTCGAGTCTGCGAGTGTTTCACAACAAAAACAGCGCATTACAGCAGATATTGACGCTATCCTCCAATGAGGAAATGAAAGTGGAGCTCTTACATTTATGGCAAAGATAATACAGACATGATTCATAAGTGTCAGTGTCGGTTTCCTTTTAATATCTGTTTTAGAAGGGGAATAACACGCCAGCAGATAAGATAGGGCCAACATTTTTGCCAGGGAGGACACTGATGATTAATCTTTGGTTTATCCATACAGTACAGTTTTTTAAGCAATTTGCCACACTCTTTCGTTCACACACTGTCTGTGATTTCACTTTCACTTGGGGCTAGGGCTAGCCCTTATCCTTTGAGGGGCTTGGGCCCACCTACCATTGGCACTGGATTGATTTGCACTTAGTGCAAGAAGCAGCAGGGCTGCGCCTGCAGCGATTAACTTCATGATCGGATCGATTCGAGGGCTCTTCAAACCCTTTTCTTGACCGTGGGCACTCGCGTATTACCAACAAAAATTGATTCGGGCAACTAATTTCGTGATGGCCGCGGCGAGGGCTTTTATAGATTCCGCTACGACAAGTGAAAAGTGCCGGCGATCGATCGATCGGACGGACGGTCCTATCGGGGCTGTTTGATTATTGCTCTATATTATTGGACACAGCGATTATATGGATGGCTCTGTTGCTATAGCTCTATGGCCGATAAAGCGATTTCGCAGTCCCCCGATTATTTAGAGCCGAGTGCGAGGGGGGGTTTAACATAAAAAGGCAAAAACAACGGCCCCGATAAGCCCATCATAATCGAACGAACACGTTCGATAAGGCTCTCTATGGACAGCCCAAATATATGTTTGCTGATTAGATGGGCTTAGCCGTAGAGAGGCTATTGGCCAACGGTTCCATTCTCCAACTAAATGAAGTCCATTTTGCGTAGTTGCAAATCAAATAAATGCACTTCAAACACTATCATCCAAAGAGACGTGCATTGGGCATTCCCTCTAGGTTTTATCGATAGTTCTGTGCATCTCACAGATGGCGCTTTTCCACACTTACGGGCCCATAAATCTTTTGCCGTGGCATGAAAATCCCAGATATACATAGGCTTCCAATGGCCTTTCTTTGTGAAAGGAAGCGCACGAAATTAATTAAATAATATGTTGTATGGGATGTGTGTTTCTATCTAAGAATATCGTGATTAAACCGGTGGAAAGCACTCGCCTCCAAGAGTTCTTACAGCTCTGATTCGTTTAAGATACATTGCATATAAAAAGAATTTAACCTATTTTTCGGGAATACCCAATCAAACTTTATGGCACTGGAACATAGATTAATCGAAATGATTCGGTTACCAAGCATTTAAATAGATGAATCTGGTATTTTTTGAAATTCCCAATAATTTGATAATCTTTCCTAATCTAAGATGACTTGAAATTCGGTTTAATGATAAGTGAAAATTAATGAAATCGGTTTTGATTTCTCGATGATCTAATTTAGCAATTGCACAATCAGGTCTAAGATTATTTAATGTACAATGCCATACAAATTTACAAATATTGCCAGATTTCAACCAAAATTGCAGGAAAAAATCCAGCAGCATAGAACTTTGGGTTGGTGATCTCTATAAAGGCCATATAAAAGCCAAGCACCGTAGATTGTATTTGAGCGCGGACAGAATTTATTGGATAACATAAAAATTAGTTTAACAATACATAGATTAGGTTCGGGAGAAGGCCGTGGGAATTAAAGCTAAAGGCATAATCGAATTTTGGGATTATTTATGAAGGGTGTAAACAAATACAGCCAATGGGACTATGATCAGCGGAATGGAGGAGGCAGCGGAGTGCAGGCTGAGAGCAGAGTTAGGTTCGGCTGTGGTTGGCGGTGCTGTGGGTTGTGGAGAAGCTGTTGTTGGTTGTGGTGAAGCGGTGCTTGGTGTTGTTTGTGGTGAAGCGGTGCTTGGTGTTGTTTGTGGTGAAGCGGTGCTTGGTGTTGCTGTGGATTGTGTTGGTGTACTCGTTGTTGAGGTTGATGTGGAAGTAGATTCTGTTGTAGGGTCGGGAGCTGCATTGAAGTCGATTATCTCATCGTTGCAATGGGGTCGCTCTAGAGGATCGCACAGCTGGCAGTTGCTATTGGCCAGGCAATCCAGCTGATCCGAAAGGCTCAAAGAACAGCCCCGTTCCAGGCGCTCTTCCACCAATTTCGTAAAGCAAAAACTTCCACCTGTCCGCGCGATGGGACATCTTTGAGATACTAGAAGCTGAGGGGCATCCACACAGTGCTCGTCCTGTAGGAAATATCAAATGGTTATAATAAATGAAGCAATCTTTCCGTTATTCACAAAATTCACCCCACTTTCCGCACACTGGAGACAACCGGCTCTCGCAGATCCCAGAGTGTTGCACTTTTCGGAGACACAGATCTCACAGTCGACTCCCCCCGAAGGGCCGTGACACTGTTCCCTCCAGCCAGCCTCGAGACCCTCCAGGCAGCCCTGGGCCTGGACTATGTCGCCTTGGAAGACACTGGCACAGGCGTCCAGTCGGTCGGAGCACTGCTCCTCCGCCTGGTAGCTGCTTCTCTGGCAGTTGATGCCGCGACAGTAGATACATTTCTCCAGCCCCAGAGCCGAGCTACTCGCCAGGAGCAGTCCAAGGAGACATCCTAGAGCGGAAGACGTGCGGTTTGACATTATAGAAGGCGAATTAAGCATTTGGGAGAGCCTTCACTCCTGTCCACGGCTTTATATCAATTCTGGCTGCTCGATAGTCCTCTGTTGATTCGGCTCAAGTGGGCAAACAACCCAATCTACAACCCGGTGACATCTCTTGAGATTTGCAAAAACAAGCCTGTTGTCTTCGCGGGGTTGCCTAAGCCCCTCGGCACTCGAGAGGGTTCTCTCCCTCCGGTTCTCTGGTGAAGTTCTTCGATTAGGCATGAGTGGTGGTAGTTTCTTAGTCACGAGCAAATAAACAAGTTCCCAATGGTAATGGAATTTTTTCGATTCTATTAGTCCCCTCTTATCAAAGTTCTTTAGATTAAATGCGGCTCGGACAATCGCAAGGGATTGAATAGGTCTTCAGGAACAACTCTAATTGAAGGTTAATTGCACAGAAATGACGTGGGACTGACTTCAAAGGTCATCAGAGAATGTCACGGGATACTTTAAGCGGGTATAAAGATCCTAAAGATTATCTGTGATGGTTGTTCGTTCTTTTTGATAATCATAGATCACTACCACACAAATATTCAACGATATTTGACATATGTATCTATTCGTATATTCTTTGTATTTAAGAAATCATCGATCATTCTGTCCAAAACGACTCTGTAATCTCGGTTACACGGTTTATAAAAAGTCTGCGATTTGCTTTTAAGAACTCCATCTCTTTTGTATTCCATACCCCTACCGGTTGAGCCTCAAAATAGTCAAAAAGTTAAGACAAGTGGTCCCAAAAATATATGTAGATACTTTTAAGAATTATATGCAAGAATCTACCGACTCTGGTTACTCTACCAGAAATTTGATATAGACTTTATTTAAATCTCTTTAATTATACGAAAAAATGCATATTTAATCGGGAAGTTATCTTAGAGAGCGAGTGAAACGATTGCCAGCGCTGGATGCTGTGGAAATGTTGACGGCATTGCAGTTCCGGATGTCGCCCGGGGAGCACAGAAGGCAGTTGGCATCCCCCAGGCAGCTCTGCTGGTCGATCTCCGTGGTGGAGCAGCCGCGCTGGGTCGTGCTGCCCGAGGACTTCACGTAGCAGTAAGAGTTGGGGGCAGTCGGAGCGGCACAGCGAGTGGCCTGCAAGGTGTCGGCATTCTCAGCACAATTGGAGTCCTTCAGAGAACCACGAGATTAGAAAGGATGTAGAGGGAAGTAATACTCTATGTTTACCTTGCTGGAGTCGCACTGGATGCAGGCATACTTTGCCGAGCCCAAAGTATTGCAGCGATTTGTGTTGCACTTGTGGGAGGATTGGGGATCGGCGCTGCGTGCCCGCAACGAGCTAGGGATCTCCAGAGAGCAGCCCTTGTACAGGACCTGGGCTGTAATAGTCCATGGGTTCAAGGATTATCTTATGCACCAAAGGGGAGGAAATATTGCACTCACCTTCATTGAAGATGGTCTCACAGTAGTCCAGGGAGTCCGCGCAGACCTGCTCCTTCTGAAGAAAGCTGCTCTGGCACTCGGCGCCCTCGCAGCTGTGGCATGTGAGGACAATGTTTCCTGCCGCGCAGCCCGCCAGGCAGACAACCGCCAGCGTAATCAGGATTGCTGTGTCTTTCATTGTGGTGCCTCAAATGTCGGGCAATCGGCCAAAGCGCTCGGCTTTTATACCGCCAGCCACTCCAAACGGCCAACTGGAGGGCACTCGAGCACATCGAGTGTGCGAATGTGTGTAAATGGCCGAGCCACTCGAATGTGCTCTGTGAAGAGCCGACAGCACGGTACAGTGGCATAGGTACAGCACATGATAGAATCCGATGGGACACTATCGGGTCTCGAGATTGCGGGTTTCAAGGAATAGGAAATTTTTGAAGCTTACGGTCGGGGCGGGTAGATAATAAAAAAACACAATCGAGTGGAGCACCAACGAGGAACTACCTCGTCCTCCGTCAAGAGAGGATTTGGGAATCGGGCAGGCGTATCCCAATAAATGGTTGAAGGATCCATCATTCTGGGGCCACGGATATCTTAAAAGGAGTTAGTTTTAGGGCCTGTACCCTGAAAAGTGGCTTCTAAAACGTTTCTTCACTTTTGAATGTCCAATACGAACTTTTCTTATTGAAAAACACAAAAGTAAAACCTCAAAGGGGCTAATTCCACTGCAAACGGTTGCTATTCGACTGACCATCATTGTATGTGCAGCCATTTTTTCGCAGGGAGATTCCATTCCCACCACAATCACCACATGTTACCCCCATGATAGATTAATGGAATATTTTGACAGGAGGAGGAGAAAAACACGTATGGGGTGACTGATTAATTCTCATTTATTTGGCTTTGGCAAAATACTAGTTGAACAAAAGAATGGCCAGCAGGCCTATGAGGGCCAAGCTCAGGCCTGCTACCCTTTGACCCAGACCTGCACTCGACTTGGCGTAGGCCAAGTCGAACGTGTTGCAGGCCACGGATTCGAGGGAGTTCCCCGGGAGGCAGAGCGAGCAATCTCGGCTCTCCAGGCAGCTCTTCTGCTCCTTCAGGGACGTGGCACAGCCGCGCTGAAGGTTCTCGCCCACGACCTTGACATAGCAGTAGGAATTGCTGGAGGTCGGAAGACCGCACTGTGAGGCCTTCAGTGTGGAGGCGGCTCCCTCGTTGCAGGTGGACGACTGAAGGGAGGAGAGAGAGTATGGCAGTAGAGTAGAGCACTTTGAAAGGTGGTTTAGGAGAGACCCACAGTAGATCCGCTGCACTGAATGCACTTGAAGTCGCTTCGTCCCTGATTGTTGCACAGTTCTCCGCTGCATTTGTGGCACTCCGGACTCCTAGCCTGGCACTTGGCCTGTCCTTCCAGGGAGATCTGCGACAGACAGCCTCTCTCGCTGACGGCAACTATTGAAGAGATGGTTTTAGACCTGGAACCGCTGAGGGCTGTCCCCTGGAAACTCACAGTCCTCGTAGATGGTCACACAAATGTCCAGTCGATCTGCGCAGCCGATGGTCACATTCTGCTTGGTTGTCCTCAGACAGTTGATGCCCTCGCAGCTGTAGCACTGGGGCGGCTCTGCCGCATTCCGCAGCTCTGGCGACTCCCAGGCAAGGGCCTGAGGGACGACCAGGAGAGCCAACAGACAGGCAATCACTCCAGACCAAAATGGCAGCATATTTCTAATTGGACAGTGGAACATTCAACACCTTTGCTAAACCGAATAGAACTGAAACTGAACGGCAATTGGATTTCGAAAACACCACACCAAAATTCACAATTGTTTGCGCCACTTGAGACCATGTTCCCTGTCCGCCAGCCCACCCACTCCATCATATTCCCCCCCCTCACAGCCACTGATAACGAGATAGCCAAGAGTTCTCTGGTGAGTATTTCGACTAAGAAATACCGCAACATCAGAACGATAAGGGCAAAGGCTAACAAAGTGGATTTAGGGCCACTATGCTGCCACAGAACTAATTTTGGTTCCAAAGCTCGTCCAGTTCCAGAGGTCTATCAGGAAAAACAGACGAAAAGACTCGTTTCAGAATACAGGGTATACAGTATACCCTGGGTATTACCAGGTTACATTGTTCTAGGGCAAGTAATTTCAAGATGTTTCCCTAGATTAGTGCCGATTCGCTGACAAGTACCCGTATCACAAATGACCATTGAAGTGGGATTGTAAGGAATCTTATCTGCCTTTGAGGCATACCAAATGGGTGATATTTTGACCCTGACTCATCCGCATGACTGCCTGAAGATTTCATTGAATTAAATATTATGTATTAACAATTGTTTTGATTTTTAGAAATAATACTTCCCCCCATTTATAGTGTTTTTTTATTGTCGTCTATTGCTTGGTTGCCTTTCGATTGCCCATTGCCGGCCAATTGGTATTTTCTGTGCCTGTGGGTTATCTTTGACTTATCGCCGCGGATCGCAGCGACTATTTGCAATCAATTTTTATGACACACAAAAATATAATCGTGGCGTGTGATAGATAAGGCTGAGTAAGACATTTGCGCTTTTAATTGAATGGAGTGCAGCTCTTCAAGAGCTTTGACGAACGATATTCTACGAGTAGATTGTGGTGGTAGTACAAGCTCTGGTATCTAGCATATTTCGTAGTAATACTGGTCAAAAATAGTTAGCTTACAGCAGTCCCCGCAGATTTTCCTTCGTTTTCCTTTGCCGCAATTGAAAACTTTCCCGGAAAAACTTTAATGGTTAGGTCACACCCGTCAAAAGTTTGTGGGACTCGCACAAATTAAAGCACAACTGTACTTATTTGCATACATTTACAGCAGATTTTCGAAGGAAACCAACACGAGGGGATTACGTTACACAATCGCAAGGCAGGGGGCGGTCCAGAGGGGGTGGGGAGACTAAACCCCCGAAATGGAAAAAGAAGGGAAAATAATACTGAAAAATAACAAAGAAATATGCAAAGCAGATGAATTGGGGATACGAGTGCGGGAAACGAAAACGAAAGGACCCGAAAATGGAAAACTGGAAAAACTGAAATTGTTATACAAATTGCGAGCTCTGCAGAGAGGGGGTCGGCAGAGGGCAAGGTTTTTTTCCCCTCAAAAGTATATAAAAGGAAAACGGAAGGGAAAAGGTGGCGCAAGGCCGAGCTGATGGAGCAAAAGATCTCCCGGAGATTCGTCTAAGAGGGATCGTACCTCCTCCGCTTTCTCCCCTTCATCCACGTCTATTTCCGCATCCTTGTCTTCTAAGTATTCCTCCTCAAACTCTCGGGAATCGACTCCTTCGTTAAGCGTAATTTTCTCCACTCGCTGTACCAAGACATCTTCCCCCCCGGCCGCCCATATCTTCTTGGAGACTACATAGAAATTTCCCCTGGGTCCTCCGGTTACGACTTCATGGCGATCCAAGCATTTGATTCCCTCTACTCGACGCATGGACCTGCCACTGCTCTCGCCGCTAACCACAAACTGGAACTCATCCAGACCGGCGCAGGCCGCCGAGTAGACACCCAGTCGACTGACCACCACCAGGCCGCCATTGAACTCCGTGTGGTGCCTGAGAAGGCGTCGCATCACCGCCTCGGCGGCACTGGCCGGTGACTGTCCGGCGCGGAGGGCCTCTACGGCCAACAGGGCGGGCAAAAAGCGCATCAGGACATCCCCGTCTCCGGTGGCCAGGGCGCCGCCCACTTGGTTGTCGGCATAGATGCCGGCTCCGGGCACAGCAGCATCGCCCACTCGCCCGGGGATGCGGAAGCGCGCGCCGCTCGAGAGGCTGGCCGCATGGAGGTGGCCTTCCGTGTCCAGGGCCAGGAAGCCCACCTGATCGTGGTGGCCCGGCTCGATGGGGTACTCCTGACGCATCTCCCGCTGCTGCTGCTCCTGGGGAAGCGGCGAGAACGTGCCGCAGCTGTCGTTGGCCAACGGACGCACATTCCGCCAGAAGTTGGGCTGACATTTGCCCAGAAGCCAGGGGAGCAGGACGTCCAAAGTGGTCGAAAGGGAGTGAACCTCTTTCTTGTGCCCCATGGCCTCGGCGAACCTGGCGGCAGCCTCACCCACCAACAGCGAGTGGTTCGTGTACCTCAGGACGTCGTGCGCCACTCCGATGGCATTGCGTATCCCTGCCATTCCGGCCACAGCCCCGTAGTCCATGTTTGCGCCATCAATGAGGGCCGCCTCCAGGGTGATCCCGCCGGAGCTGTCGGGAGCGCTGTGACCGCCCAGAAGGCGGCCGCAGCTGTTCGAATTCTGGCAGTGCAGGCAGCCCTGGATCACGGCCTGTCGCGTCCGCCGGGGGCCCTGCCGGAGCACGGTCCATGCCTCGCGGTTGGCGTCCGTGTAGTTCCAAGTGCTGATCATCAGCGGCAGAAAGCTTTGGGGGATGGGATGAGCTGGGACTGAGAGCCGGGCCTTGAGCAGTGGCAACAGCAGGAGACTCAGAAGCTGCGCGCGACACAAGTACCTCATGACTGAGGCCCAGACGAGTGCTGTGATGCCTTTTAACGTTCCCGATTTCTGATTTCTGATTGGATTAGTGGCCCCCAGTGAATCGTTCGATGGGAGTTGCAAAAACAACTTGGAAACTATTCCCAAGAAGTTGAAAACTTTTCAAATTAAAAGCAAATCGATCCGAAACAACACGAGTACTCAACAAGAACAAGCACAGACCCAACCCCGGAAAAATTAAGATTCATGAATAAGTCAGACATGGATTTTGCACCCCCTTGGATACATTTCAGGCGAACAGCCACACACTTGATTTATTTGCCACTGACAATAAACAATTTGCAAGTATTTATCATATTCAGATTCGGGCATTGTCAGCGGGACAGACACTGACACAGACATCCATGAGATACAAATATTTGTTATGCATCGAACTTTTGTCGTATCTGTGTGCGGCTTGTGTGTGCGTGTATGCGTATCTGAGGAAAACAACACTTTTCCTGGGAATTCGCAGAGAGGGAAAGATTGTCTTAGTTGCCACCCAGTTTGGCAATATATTCAGCCGCCATGTATGTATGTTGCGCAGTGTATCTACTCTTGATAGTTTTTGGTGTAAATAATTTAATGCTGATTGGATATTTGCCCACCGTGAGATCTGTGTCCCAGGGGCGCCCTGTTCTCCCCTGCTCCTGCTCCCCATCCATTTATCAAAAATGCTGTTTTCTCACAATTGGCTACAATCATGCTGGCCATATGCATTGGTTGTTGATTGACTGATGGCAGGCCTCAGAACCAGCCCCAGTCCCAGCCCCAGTCCTAGCTTTTCGATTTCCTTTTGGCCAGGACCCGCCCTACGCTTTTGCTTTTGCAGCTTGTGGTTGGCTCTGTCCCTCTATCTCTATCTAGTTCACGCCGTATCTCCCTCTCTCTGCCCCTCTCCCTCTCTGTGGAAGAGCTCCCTTCAGGCTTGTAATTGCGTTTATTGTGCGTTTGAGATTTGTAATTCGGTCGAAGCGTGTCGGTCCCTCTGTACATGTGTGGGCCTCGTTTGGCGTGTTGATTGAAAATGGCTCAAGAGTAATTGACAGTTTATTGGCTGACGCGATTGTTCGCGTTGTAGCTGGTTTGTCCTATTCGAAATGCACAGGAGAGTGGAGTGGAGAGGAGAGAACTAGGTCGAAATGACAAACTAGAGTCCAAGTATCCCTCGAAAGACAGACCAAACTAGATGCTACATCATTTTCAAGATGGAAAGTCTTCGTTTTAGTTCAGTATAAATGTGCATATAAGAGGTTTGTAGGTGTGTGTGTGTGTGTTGTAACTCAAAATATTCAAGTGCATTTGGCAGCCCATAGGGGAAGGCAGGAGAGTACAGTAAGAGCGCCACTTGAGTGCGTTGCGAGCCTCTTTTCAGGTCAACTAATGGTGGCATTTTGGCAAAGGCAACATCCAACAACAACAACAACAACAATAATCATGTGAATAACATTTTTACTGGAAAAGTGGATTTCCTTTGGCGCCATTTTGCGGCATTTTCCGTCTCCTTGGCGGAGCATTTGCTCGGCTTGCCACACGGCCCGTGCTTTGGCGTTTTATTCACGGAAAACCCAACCCATTCCCCCCCCCGCACCATCCGCCCCGCACCGCCTCTCGAAACCGCTCGACACAAAGTGGTGCTCGAGGTTGCGTCCAGGCGTAAAAGTGTTTGTAGCCGCCAGAGCTTCCATCAAGCTTATTTTGCCACTGAAGAGCCCCCCCCAGACGAGCTCCGAAGGAAAGGTTAGCGGGGATAGCGGGTGCGGCCCGCATTCGGGTCAGGGTTCTCGCGGAGGAGCAGACTCAAAGACTGTGGCGGCTGACATAGAAATGTCGCGGAAGTGGGTGAAGGCTGTTCGGAAGAGTTGCACTCTCGGAGAAGGGAAAGCGAAAGGCTGGAGGGTACGTGAAGCCCAGTATTTCTGAAAGTATGTCTCTAAATTATTGACCAACCAATCTTCCCCCTTCTCCGGCATAATCTTTGGAAGTAGACAACTTGGTTAATCGCCAGAGATTCCCCAAAGGCCAGACCAGTTCCAATGGACACCCAAGGCGATACAGAGTTGGTCTGGGATTTCGCTAGTTGTCAGAGCCTTGGGTGGCATCCAGCGACATCCAACAATCAAAACTGCCATGATTAATGTCAACACAATTGACATAAAGCATTGGCCAGGGCCAAGAGCGGAAAGCCAAAGCCCCTGCCAGGCAACTGGAAAAACTCGAATCTGACAGGGCCCGTCCCGGGCAAGTGGAGGATGCAATTATTGATGGATTATTTACTGTCAGCACTGTCCGTTATGACAATGAGATATGGCCACAGGGCGGGCTGGCCCGGGCTGGCCGGGCTGCCATGTCTGGAGAATGTCTGCAGCCAATGACATCGACTAGACGATGGAGAGGACTTGCCAGCAGCCCCCGAGCATTGGCCAGCGTCGAGTCATTGAATTTTCTTTGGCATCTCTCATCTCTGACTTTGCAATTTATGGCCCGCAATTATCCTGCGTGGCATGTGCAGCGCAAGTATGCCCCATCAAGGCATTGATGCATTAATTGCGCGTAATCACCTTTCATATAAATAACCAAACAATAACCGCCAAGCCCGCCCAGACGCCCCACCTGAGGGGGAAACCTGGAGAGGAAACTCTATGGAAATCCAAAGTCAAAGTCAATGCTGGGCGACGCCTTAACTCATTTACATATTTCGTGTAATTATGCGTGGAAATTACAACGGGAGCGAAGACCTTATAAGAGCTTATAATCGGGAATGCTATGACCATCGTCATCCATCTATCCATCCGTCGCATAACTTCTTGTCATGAGCCGTGAGACGGTGGCTGCCAGTCGTCCCCAGACGTTTGCCGTTAATTATGTTGACAGCAGCGATGGGAATGATGGCATTGAGGGTTGGGGGTTGGGGAGTGGGGACCACCAGCCATGTCGTGTCAATCGATAAACGTTTAATCGCCTTGAATTGATAATAACCAAACTGTACATTATGATGATGATGATGACAGAGAATGGACATTCCGTCTAATGGATAATTTGTGTTTGGGCTCAGCTTTTGATTTGGCCGCTCAATCGCATTTCAAATGCAAAACGTCAGACCGAAACGGAAATGAAGGCGAAAAAAAAGAACAGTTGGTTGGAGCAGGTTTCTCCGTTAATTCAAAAGAAATTATGGGGCGGGGGGACAGTCATTTGAGGGGTGGGTCTTCCTTATATGGGGAAGACCTCTGCCTTGATTTAGGTGTAAAAAGTCGGATGACCTTTTGGGATTTATTTATTTGTAAATTTCCAATAATAAAATTACAAAATAAATATGGAAATCCACAGACTAAACTCACCACGAAAAAAAAACATTTAGAAAGTCCAAACTGAAAATAAAAATAGTTTGATAAAAAAAAAACAGTAATAAATGGAATAATTTAGAACTAATTTATAGCTTATATTAAAATATTACATACAAAAAAATATACAAATTATTGAATAATAAAAGGAAAAATATGACGTGTGCGTCGGCCGGGAATCGAACCCGGATCAACTGCTTGGAAGGCAACTATGCTGACCATTACACCACCGACGCCGCTTGGACTCGAGCGGAAATATACCCCATTCCAAGAAGCTGATATCAGAACGAGAACGATGCAGAGAAAGAAGGAGAGGGAGAGAGAGAGGGAGAGGTACAGAGTGGAAGTGGTAAGGGATAGGGTCTATCATAGGAATCATTTTGTGAGTTTGCCAGACATTGACAGGCAATATATCAGCAATTATCAGGATAATCCATCGAACGATGGTAAATAATTTAGTGGAAATCATAGTTAAGCAAATTTGCTTTACAGTTGAACTTTGACGGAGAGACAGAGACAGGTAGAGAGAGAGAGAGAGAGAGAGAGAGAGAGAGACGTGTGGCACATGCTTCCTCTTACGAATTGCAGAAATGTGCAGAATTTATGAGCAGCCGCAAGATAAATAAAATGATATTTATGCTGATTGCTTATTTGCTTTGAGAGTAATTGGTTAAATTTGTTTGCCTCCCCGAGTAGGTGTAGGTGTTGCGTAGGTGTCAAAGGTCAATGGTTGTCTATGCGAGCCACGACTGCCAGCGGCAAAAACTTGCTCAACAGCCCAAAATGCCAAATGTCTAGCGCGGCGGAACGAGGAGGCGGAGGAGGAGCAAGTTTTTGCGAGGCCTCCGCCAGACTTTGCTTTTGACAAACTTATTAAAAAAGTTTCTGCCAGTCGGCAAATATCATAATCATCTGCATTTCAGCGCTAGTACACACGAGTACGAGTACTTATCAGGGTCGGAGTGTGCCCCCTGCCCCGTGGCACTCATCATTGACAGACATTTGCCCTGAAAGTGATGCTCTAACCGCATCTGGGGAGTGAGTGGAACTTCATTTTACCTCTAACTTAATCATCATGAGCACGTTTCTGCAGGACGAGTCTCCAATGATAGTTGATTTGCACATATTTTCATTAACTTTTTCAGCATTTTTTTTGTTCTCCATTCGGAATTAGTTTTTGCACAAAAGTTCTTTGTTGGTCTGTTGCCATGATCAACAATTTTAATTAAAAAATTTTCTGAAATTAATATGTATGAATATAGTTTGTGTCTGTGTTTTTTTTTTTTTTTTTTTTTGCCCACATATCTGTATTATGGAAACTTCAGCAAAATAATTTCAGAATGCAGATTTTTGTTTGCTTTGCGGTCAGGGGTATATAGGGCTTGCACTACAAAATATGTACATATGTACATATGTACATATATTCTGTGGCATAATTTTGGGTGTTGACATGGAATTAATTAAGGCCGAGCTGGTTTAAGTTTGACTCAACCAAATACAAATAGTTTTCATATCTACATATATCGACTGTTCGAGGGGCTTGCCCATTGCCCCCAAGATTCAAATACTCCACTCT